AGTTGTCATTGTGCCATACCTTAAGATGTAAACCTCTGCCACTGTTGTTTAGAAACTATTAGTTTGGGAACAAGTAGAAGAAAGGCCAAAAGTACTAATAAAAATAAAAATCAAGGAAGGAAGTCAACTGAAAAAAAAATTTTTAAATGTGCTGCTTTTCTGCCTTTTAAATAGCTTTAAATGTATGAGTTTCAAGCACATCTCTAAAGATGAGCAAGACTATATTGAAGTCTCTGCTATTCTGAATGAAGTTATGACCGTGGGAAATACAGCTATTTTGAGACAGCTAGTTTATAAGTAAAAATTTAACCTTAGTTTTAAGATGAATGGGAAATAAAAATAATTAAAAAAAACTATATTAGGTAATAAAATTTCCATTGTTGTTTGTCAGCTAGAGCAATGCATGCTTCTCAACAATAACAACAACAACTAAAAAAAAAAAAAAAAATCCAGTGAAAATGTGAAGTGAAAAAAACTGATCTATGATGGAAATATAAACAAAAGTCTGTCATTTCCATATGTTCTAATTGTTCTTTTTATCTGGTATTGATAGTTGTCAGTGCATTGTCAAAGACGAACTTTTACAGCTTCTGAAGGGAAACTTTTCTAAACAAATTAATTTTAACCTTTCAGATATTTTAAGATTACACCAATTAACAGCATAACTTAGTGTTCATTTTGGAAGGATTCTACTGTAAACAGCTGAACATGTTTTCATAACAAAGTACAGTGTACAACCAGGACATCCTTGTAAAACAGATTAACAATCTCAGTGGATTTCTCTCCTGGTAAAAATAAAGGTTTAAAAAATGTTTGTGTTTGTTTCATTTTGTTCTGTTACACACTGAGCTGTAACCAAACAAGTATCACCAACCTTGTGCTTCAATAATTAATCTGCCGCTGAATAAATAATTAAAATGTGCCCGGAGAGAAATGTTTTAGGGCTCTGTGTGTTCGACCAATCAGAGAGCGAGATCCTGCACTCCTTCCGAATTTCAGCCAATCAGAGCAGCGCTTCCTCCATTTCCTGTTGTGGACTCGGTGTAGGACTGCTCCTTCCTCCGGGTCCAGAATATGAATTAAATGCCGATGCGTGGATGAATGACTTCGTCTTATTTCGCTTCCACAGAGGTGTTGCTCAACACCAAACTGTACGCGTAAGTACATGTTTTATATTTTTATTTTTGTACATTTCTCAGCGTGTTAGGCCTGCTCGCTGCTTATTTTAGCGGACTTTTTGCGGCACGGTTAAGCTATTTGTGCAGTAATGCAGCAGAGAATGAGATTTGTTCCCCTCTGGTGTTTTTACACAGTGGTTCTGAATCTGTCCTGGAATGGGTCAGAGAGATGCAGGTATCGACTGTTGCACCTGATGTCATGACGCGTCTATTCCCTTGACAACAACGGATAAATATTCAGGTAGGCTCCTGTGGTTGACACCACTCATTGTTGCCCTGTAGGCTTCGTGTTAGCATAAAACTCCACGGCTGTTTTCACATTTTAAGAAAATACAGCTGAAATAACGGTCTCAATATAGTTTTAATAAACTAAATTTACTCCGTACTCCTGTTAGCTTTGCTCTATTTAGATTAGCATCAAATTTGTTGTGTCTGGCAGTAATAAAATTAGTAAACGAGGCATCGTCGTAAATATAAACATTAGCTTAGGCTGTTCGTGCGGATTAGTTCAAGTAGCGGTTAACAAGCGTCAAGCTAACCCGGACAAAATAAAAGCTTCACTTCCGGTCAAAATTTTCACTCTACAACCGAGGCTCCCGTTCGGTTTTGCTTTCAATTTTCTTTTTTTTTTTTCTTTTTTTACGAACAATCAAATTTTAGTTAAAAGTTACGGTTGTGCTTGTAAAAGATAAACAAACAAAACAATAATTATAATATGAGGCTACGCTACCGTTTCAGCCACAACTTCCTTCAAACCTTTCACAATAAGAGTCTTAAACCTGTGCTCAATGTTGAACCCAAAACATCTGAAGCTTCAAATACAATAATTATTATTAATGTTGGAGAAGTTATTTAGTTCACTAACATTGTTTACTCAAATGATCCACAATTCATGGCAGGTGAAGATTTTTAACCAGCGTTTACTGACAGATTATGACAGATTACAGACTTAAACATGCATGAAGACAAGTGACAGAAATAAGCCATGAACAGTGTTATCTGCTGACTTCTATAACATTCTCAGCTCAGCAGAATTCAGTGTAGTTTAGTGGGCGTCCTTGAAGCCAGCTGCTGCCTTCTCACACAAACACTTTGACTTCAAACATATGGGTCATGGGCATCAAAGAGACGATTTGAGATGAGAGAGTGTTTTGGGAGACAATCGAGCTGCTTGCTCTCAGGGCAGAGAGAAAGAATGTTCTTAGGCACATTAATAAAGCACAAAACATTCATAACCTTTGACTGAAAATTATCCAACAATAATAATAATAATAATAATAATAATAATAATAATGGATAACTGATACACAGTAGACATACATAAAATTCATACAAACGACAGGAGACAAATAGGAGGAATAACCAGCATGCTGTTTGTGGTGTACAATACATCATATTTGTTTTTTGTTTATTTATTTACTTGCTTTATCTAATAAACACAAAATCTCTTAATTTTTTTATGACTATTCACACACTTTTCCAAATGGGAGGGCACTTAAACCAAAAGAAAGACTGTCCAAATTATGTTTTGCACCTCGCTGGTTTATAATTATGTCCAACAATGTTGAATGCTGTCTATCATGGTGCACTAAGATTCATAACTGGCTGTGATTATCGTACCCACCACTGCACCCTGTATTCACTGGTTAACTGGTCATCATTAACTTCACGCAGACTCTCTCACTGGTACATTTTCATCTTTAAATCACTTCTTGGTCTGTTGCCTTCATACATCTCCTCCTACATGTCTCTGTGTGAGTGCAGCTACAGCGTGTGCTCTCAGGACATTATTACCTGCAGTGTTCCCTCACTGAGGACTGAACTTGGCAAAAGGGCCTTCTCCTACTCCGCTCCTGTTTCCTGGAATATCTTGTAAAAATATCTGAAGCTCTCGACCTTGACCTCTCTAAGTGGCTTCAAACATCTGTTAAGTTCCTGGCAAAAAACAATTTAGACACGTTCTTGTTTTTAGTTTTCTACATCGCCTTACAACCTAGCTGTTTTGTTTTTGTGTTGCATTGTTTTATACCATTTTATTTTCACTTGATCTTTTCCATTTTTATGCATCCTTTATGATTGTCTACTGTTGTCATCACTTTTTGTTAAAATCAGGTCTCTCTTGTAAATGAGTCCCAGAGGCTCAATGGGATTAACCTTTATTAACAATGTGTTATAGCCATTTTATGTTGTTAGTGTTATTTTATTTGTGAACACTAGGGGGCGTAATATGCTACTCGTCACTGAAAGCTGGGGGCAAAGGTGCACAGGTGTGATGAGTCAGGACAGAGGCAGTTTTTTGACCATGTGTTCCAGAGCATGTAGAGTGTGTATGAAAGTTTATGGAAGTACAAGGAGTGTGACTGAAATCGTTTTGCATCATATAAGCTGAATGAAATACGGAGTCTTGAAATGTAGGCATATGCACAGACTTTGTTAAAATACATAAAATAAACGATACATCGTTTTACAACATTGAACTGATTAAAGAATGTTTATCTGGCACGTGTCAGAACAGCTGTCAACTCGTCACCCGTGGTGATCGAGCTGTAAAGGAAAAGTTTGGCCCCACTATGTGTCCTTCTATTTTGCTGAGGTGTCATTTCAGTGGTTATTGAACTTTTCAGAACTTCATCGTAAATCAGCCTCACAGGTTTCATGTTATCAAGAAATTATTAAGAACTATTAAATAAAACGTATAAATACAATAAGTCCACGGTTTTGACCTAAACTATGCACTTTCAAGACACAATTTAGGTAATAGGTATTTATTTACTCAGGTGCATTAATTTTAATACAATAATACAATTTTAATACAATTTAAAAAAAAAAAAATTGTCATGAATGTTTGTTCAAATGTTTTCACAGAAGACATGCTTGATTCTGGCCTGTTTGAGTTACTCTATAATGGACTATATGAAACGTTTCAAAGGACTAAATTAGTTAAACATTAAGATTCTGTGGTGTTGCTTGTTCTTCTGACTCTGAAGGCCTCAAATGTTTGAACGAGAACAAAATGAGAGCAAGTTATTTTGGAGTAAAATGTAATTTCAAGAAGCAAAGTTAAGCACAAATAGTTTGTATACTTCTCCTGAATCCTGATGCAAACCTGTGACGAGAGCTGAAATCTGTAGCTGCAGTAACGACTGGGCGCGCCTGCTTGTGTTCAGGGACCATCATGCCCATCACGCTGCTGTGGGCCGTGGACGTGTACGGCAGGGTGTACAGCCTGTCCACGGCTGGGCTGAGCTGGGTGCGCGCTGACGACATGCTGCTGGAGCTGAAGCGCGTCACTGCAGGCAAGGGGCGCTGCTGGGGCATCGGCTGTGACCACCATGTTTACCTGCACATAATACCCAGCGAGACCCCCATCCGCTACCGGGAGGAGACCTATGAAAACCAGGTGAGTCCAAGCCCCTCTCTCGTGGCAGTGAACAGGACTGTGCTGCCTGAATAAAATGAATGTTTGTGTCTACGTCAGCGGTGGAACCCCGTGGACGGCTTCACTGACGTCCTGCTACCCACAGACCGCTGGCCGTGGAGTGATGTGACGGGGATGAATCCTCAGCCGCTCCACAGCTTCCAGCTGCCCTCCAGAAGCTGGGAGTGGGAAGGAGACTGGTATGTGGATCAGACCTGTGGAGGAGAACCTAGCCAGACTGGGGTTAGTAAAATTCATAAAGCTTTTTTTTTTTCTTAACCTTATTTCTAACTTCCAACAAACTTCAGTCAGGTCAAATGGACGTTTTCTTGTGTGTGTGTGTGTGTGTGTGTGTGTGTGTGTGTGTGTGTGTGTTGAGACGTTTCATCCTTCATCCAAAGGACTTCTTCGGTCCCAGGAGCCACAACAAACTCAGTCCCGTAAGTGGCTTACTCACATAGTGGACCAACCAGTTTGCTGGTGATAAGATGGTTTCTGGAGTCCACCCTCTCCCCCGTCGACTCCTCTGAAGCAGCCATAGACAAAGCGGTTCAAAACATCAAAGTTCATGCGCAGTAATCCAGGTAAAACCACATTGTCTATGGCTGCTTCAGAGGAGTCAAGTGGGGAGAGGGTGGACTCCAGAAACCATCTTATCACCAGCAAACTGGTTGGTGTACTATGTGAGTAAGCCACTTACGGGACTGAGTTTGTTGTGGCTCCTCGGACTGAAGAAGTCCTTTTGGATGAAGGATGAGACGTCTCAACAGCAACAACAAAAAAAAGAAAATAAACCATCCAGATGACCTGACTTAACTTTGTTGGATTTTTTTTACCTGGATTATTGAGCTGAGCATGAACTTTGATGTTTCTAGCTTCCTTTCACATCTCCCATGATTAATTAACAAAATGTACAATTTTCTGGTTATCCTCTTCACTTCCCTTATTGTTTAGGGCTGGGAATACGCTGTTGATTTCCCAGCTAACTTCTCCCCGGACAAGAAGTGGAACTCCTGCGTCCGTCGTAGACGCTGGATCCGTTACAGAAGATACACCGCACAGGGCACTTGGGCAAAGGTTCGCAGAGTCTCATTTTATCCTGTATCTCTGTAAGACGCAGCACGTTTCAGCATCATACACAGTCCGTGTAGAACGTGTGAGTCCAGCTCCGACTGCTCTCTGCAGATCCCTTTGGACAATCCCAGGAAGCCCCCGCTGCCGCTCTGTGACATCAGCTGCGGTGGCTGGGAGATGAGCGACCAATCCGGGCGGTATCCGTACCTCTGGGGCGTGTCCCAACAAGGACAGGTCAGTCAGCAGTTTGTGCCTGTTGTGAACCTCTCCCCCGTTTTTTTCTTTTTTCTCCTCAACTTCACACAAAGTTGAAAATAAATCAAATAAAACTCAATGAATTGATAACTCCTGAGACTTTTCTAAGTATCACTCACACACACAGATCATTTTATGAAATACAATTCTCTCCAGCTTGCTCTGCAGTACACATTTTTTGCCACAAGAGGGCAGCGTAACTCCATTTAAAGCTTCTGGTCAAAGTTTTTTTTTTTTTTTTTTGACTGAATATTCATGATCCACCAGTTAAAGTTACTTTATTTTAATGATTTACTGTTGCTAAACCATTGTTCACATATACAGTTTTTAGACAGAGTGTTGTACGTACACGTCTACATGATCTGTTTACATGATTGCTGCCATGCAGGTGTGGTTCAGGGAGGGTATCCACCCTCGTGTCCCCGAGGGAACCAGCTGGGAGGAGGTGGAGGTGCCCAAAGAGGTAGCTCAATTATCAGCCGGCCCCGGGGACCTCCTGTGGGCTTTACTGTGGGATGGAAACCTGCTGGTTCGTACTGGACTCAGCCTGGACAGCCCAATTGGTCAGCACTTCCTGTGGCGCCTGTTTATTCACAACTCATTCTTTCATTTTGTTCATTTTTCTCCAATCCCAGGATTGTTACATGGACATTTTGAAACATAAATCATCTTGTAGCTTTTTAACTGAGGCTTCAGAGCTGTTTTAATACTGGGATGAGTTGTATTTCTTGTCCTAACATAGTAGAAGTGCCAACAACGGTGTCTAGAAATACTTTGTAATTAAGTCCCAGAAAATGATCAGTTTTAAATGTTGCTGTGCACATTTAATTATTGAAGTGAGATTTTCTCTTTGTAGGGCAGTTTATTTGACAAACACTCCAACAGCTTGTTGAAGACATTAATCAGTTCTCCGTTTGGTAGGCACCTCCTGGGTGGAGGTGGAATCACCCACCAAGGAAGTCGAAGCTCTTCATGTGTCTGTTGGAGCCAGCGTGGTCTGGGTGGTCACTAAGGACTACAAGGTGAGCCAGAACTACTCCCAGATGTGTAACTCTGAACAGCTGCGGCTCTATTACACAGTGTATGTGTACCTGAACGTTTGTGTGTCCAGGTGTGGTTCAGGCGTGGAGTGAACTCCCACAACCCCCGTGGCTCTGGCTGGATCAGTGTCGGAGGAGAAATGATGGTGGTGGATGTAGGACTCAACGACCAGGTTAAGAGATTTAATGAAAACTTGATCAAAAATGTTTCAGCAGCTGTCGTTCTGTTCCTATAAAGCAGCAGTTCAGATCTTTTGAAGTGGGGTTCTATAGAAAAGACGATCATTATCTTACCTGTGTTAGATGGCTCTGTAAACAGCCTCGGTTTGAATAAAAAGTTTAAATCTGACTGCATGAAGGAGCCAACGGCTGACCAAAGACCAAAGTGGATTGCTGCCATCTTAAACCAACTCATAAATTTCATAGTGGTTTATTCAAACACTATTTTATAAACCTTTACATCACTCTGTTTGACATTACATGGTTGTTTACATAGAATTGTGTATTTGCTAGCAAAGATAGCATGCTTAGCTCTTCTAGCAGGAATATCGTAACATTTCTGTCAGAGTAACCGTATAATGTGGAAGTGATTTAATTCTGTGGTTTATAAGTTTAGTTTATATGGACTGCTTTGAAATCTTTGAGGCTGGAGTTGTTTTAAGGTAGCAGCAGCTTCAAACTAGCCTGTTGCATATCTATCTGGTTGGAATTAAACTATTTCTCCAAACTGAGGTCATTCAAAGAACTATCTGCATCAGGTAAGATATTAATTGTTCATAAACATTTTACAGAGCCCCATTTTAAAGGTCTGAACTAAGTATAACTAGATTTTAGATAATTCATAGTCATTATAACATTTATTCGCACACTTTGTTTTATTTGTTGGGAAAATGAAAATGTTAAAAATATATTTTATTCAGTTTTTTAATATATACTCTTTGGTTCATTAAAACTTTTCAGTGATAGGAAAGTTTGCTTCACGCTTTTTTTTTGGATCTGGTTTCAGGACAGGCCAGATTAGGGGGTTGAAATCTTTGCTCTCACTGCTGAAGACTTTGCTTGCACTGCAAACCCCTACATCTCACACCTCCTCCTTCCCCTCCTGTCTCTCACTCGTCTCCCCCTCCTACCCCCTCAGCCCTTCTACCTCCAGCCTCTGGTCGGGCCCAGCAGCAGCCCTGTAACACGAGTAAAGCCAGCCGCTCCAGCTAATGTCCCTGCAGTCCCGTCTTGGTCCCGGCCTTATATATCCCCAGACTGTATTCCCTCTGGCCTGACAGATGGGAGACTCCCTAATTAGAAGCTGGCCAAGCCGTCGTCATCGATCCCGTCGTATCCCGTATTTTATATTTCAGGGTTGCAGTCGTGGGTATGGCTTATGTGAGGCGGCAACAGCCAGGGTTCCAGTATACAGCCTTATAAAGTAACAGCTGCCTCTGTCCTGCTGCTGCCTCTGATTGGTCTTCAAAGAATGAATGATCATTTAGTTTTATTCATGTTTTATTCAGTTTGTGACTTTCTTTCTGAAAGCATGGGATTAAAACGACACAACAATGAATTCAGTTGAAGCCCCACCTGAACTGATTACATTTTACTGCTGTTGTCCCACTTCTGCTGTCTCTCTGTTAGGTGTGGGCAGTTGGAGAAGACCGGGGTTTGTATTTTAGAATGGGGGTGACCCCGTCTGAACCAAGTGGAAGTGGCTGGATCCCAGTTTTGGCCCAGTGGGGCAGCAATAAAGACGTTATCCCCCCCAGGTGTGTGTAGAGAGTTAAACTGATTCAACCGATGCTGAAATTTACAGCAACGTTTTCACATCTGTCTTTTGATCTGCTGCCATCTTCTTTGTGTGTGTGTTGTTTTTGAAAGGGATGATGAGTTCATTAACCAGCGGACTGAGGCCTGTCAAGGTTCTGCACCGAGCTGCACCGACTCAGAATCAGAGTTAGGTCCTCCTGACCCACAGCACGCCGACACCCCGGCACTGGAGGCACAAGCTCCCTCTATAGTCCCCTTAGGGGCAGCTGACACATCTGCATCACCACAGGAGCTAAAAGAGACTCCTTCAGCCCCCCAGCAAGATGCCCCCAAACCTTTCATCCCTGCTAGTGACAGCTTCATCAACAGCCTGGTTTCTGACCGCGACCGGACTCTCACTCCGCAAGCGTCCATCACAGAGACGCCACACGAAGATGGCGAGGAGCAACCCCCAGCCGCGATCCTTCCAACACCTCCGGCAGCAGGACACAACATCCCCTGGATGAACGTGGACCTGGAGGGGGCAGAGACGGCGCGAGCTGAGCAGGCGGTTGGGCGTGCATCAGGTGACGGCCTCGGGGCTCTGGAGAGCTCGCAGCGCATCGGGGAGGATGACGTACCGGTGTGGGCTTGGGTTTCCGGTGGCGGCTGTGACGTGGACGCAAGCTCCCAGATCAGCTGGCTCAGTCCTACAGGTACAGAAACAACCAGACTGTGGAGAAGTCCTCTGAGGTTTGGAGAATTTATCAGTGTAGTAAAATCAGCAGATGAAATGGTACAAATTTTAATTAACTTAGGTATTTAAACTTTTTCATAGGTAATAATTGGCTTTTTTTAAGGAAACGTTCCATTTGTTTTATTTGGGCTTTTATTTTTTGGCAAATAAAAAGTCTGTAATTTTACAAAATCCAGCCACAGTTTATTGTACCCACCTAAACATGCTGCTTCTGAAGTGTCAGGAGCATCGTGCTTATTTTTCATTGAAAGAGTAAAGATTTTTGTCTACAAATGAGTATTTAAAGGCTAAAACATGCTAGCAACAGAAGGCTAGCTAAAAGTAGCTAAAGAAGACAAAACTGAGCAATGTGTTTGAAGGAAGTAAAGAGACCTCAAACTTCTCTGGAGATGTGTTTGTAATAAAATGAATTTCTTTAAATAAAAATTACAAAATCATCTCTTGAATGAGCTAAATGTTTTGATATACGAACGGCTAAAATATCATTAAGTCTGTAGAAGTACTGATGTTAAAAGAATGCATGAAAAACTAAAGTTTTAATTCATTTTTCTTAGGTCCTTTTGTGTTTTCGAGTTCTTGCTCCTTTAAAGAGATACTGACTTGTTTTTTCGGACTCATTGCTCTGTCAGGTCCACTCACCAGCTCCGTGTCGCTGACTCCGGTTCAGTCAGCAGCTTGGAGCGAACGGCCTCGACAACAGGAACGCAGAGAGGAGATCAGCAAGAAACCGCTGGAGAGAAGCAACGTAAGACTGCTGCTGCTCTCGTCTGACGGCCGGAGAGTTTTAATACGTTCAGGATCTCCGCTCTACTTACGTTTTCATCTTTGTTCCTCTGTGCAGTCGGTGTGGGTGCGTAAAGGTACGCTGCGTTGGTGGAGGGACTGGAAGCCGCAGCGCTGGGTGGACGTGGGCGTTGCTCTCGAGCAATCCACCAGGTCGGATGGAAGGAAGGACAGCATTTTTTTTGTCTACTACACGCAGTACGACGAGAAGAAGGTCGGCTCTGCAAGTCCACGCCTCTTCAGCGAGATGACTAGAACACGTGTTTTTAAATATTGTATATTCTGTCTTCACTCTCCCAGTACCTCCACGTGTTTATAAATGAGGTGACGGTGCTGGTTCCGGTTCTGCGGGACTGCCACTACGCGTTTGCCGTGTATTCAGCCGAAAGGACCCAACAGAGGTGGCCTCTGCTTTTAGCAGCACAAACCGAGAAGGACATGAACGACTGGGTAACGGTTCTGTCTTGATCCAAACGGATCAAGCAACAAATCACTTGTTTAGTAGATTTTCACTGGTTTCACAACTTTTTCTTGCTGAAGCTGAAACTGACTGTGTTTTTGTTTGTTTCTTTCAGCTGAGCCTGTTGTCTGACTGTTGCTGCGAGTATCGAGGGATCACCGGCGCTCCGTCCAGGCAAGCCCTGTGGTCCACTACTTCAAATGGAGACGTTCTGGTCCACGAGCCGTCCTTGTCTCTGGAGGCTCCTGCCCACGCCCCGGCCTCTGACCTCATGTGAGACCAATGGCAACGACCGGCTTCTGTCCGTCTGCTTTGCACCACTTTTAAATCTCTCCTTCTTTAACCTTAACCTTTTTCACATCATTTTGTTCACTTTGTTCTGTGACGCCTCAGCCAACACGTTGCTAACATGTAGCTCTGTCTCTTTCACTCCCTGTGCTAACGCTGGGTGCTAACGCTGGGTGCTAACGCTGGGTGCTAACGCTGGGTGCTTCCGTGGTGGCGCTGCAGGTTTTGGCGCCAGGTCCAGGGGCACCTGCGCTGTGTAGAGTCTAACTGCCTGGGGCTGGTGTGGGGCATCGGGTGGGACGGCACCGCCTGGGTTTACAGTGGGAACTTTGGGCAACAGCTCAGTCCAGGTAACACATGCCCCATAGACTGTTCAAGGAATACTTTAACCCAGTGGTTCCCAACACTGGTCCTTGCGGAACACCATCCTGCATGTTTTAGTTGTTTCCCTGCTCCAACACACCTGAATTATTTAATGACCATCAAGTTCTGCAGAAGCCTGTTATTCACCCATTCATTCAAATCAGGTGTGCCAAAGCCAGGAAACAACTAAAACATGCAGGATGGTGTTCCTCAAGGACAACGGTTGGGAACCACTGCAAACTCATGTTTTATAAAACTAGACTTATTGGAAAAAAAAAAAAAAGTCAAAGTAGCTGAAAATCCTGAAAAGTATTTTAAAATGTGCTTCATCTGTCCAGGAAACAAAGCTACTGACTAACACTGATACAGCTGCTGTCACTTAACGTGCCACAATGTGAAGAAAATAGTAGAACATCTGTTTAACATCTGTTGTTTATCGTCAACCTCTGCTTGCATTAAAATCCGTCTTTCTGTTTCCGGCTGCAGACGGCGCTCAGCTGCACCAGCAGACGGACGTCAGGAGTATCCACGTGTACGAGAATCAGAGGTGGAACCCCATGACTGGATACACAGACAAGTAGGACTGCTTCGCTTTTCACAGTTTTCAAAGTTCACCTCGTCTTTTGTGGAAAAAGTGCAACTTTTTGTTTCCCCTCCAGAGGACTTCCTACGGACCGTCCGATGTGGAGCGATGAGAGCGGGCTGAAGGAGTGCACCAAAGGCAGCACGCACCCACCCACCCCGCAGTGGTCCTGGGTAAGGGGAACCAGTTTGCACAGAACTCCTCCAGTGCGTTACACTTCATGTTCTCCTGCTAACCTCCGCTGGCACCTTTTTGCTTTTAGGTGTCAGAGTGGACCGTGGACTACAACGTCCCAGGAGGGACAGACAAAGAAGGCTGGCAGTACGCTGCAGACTTCCCCACGTACGAAACACTCGCTTCTCAAGAAGCCGTCTCAGATTAAATAAATCCACTCGCTGAATCATTTTTCTGACTCACCTCCGTCCCACAGGACGTTTCACGGGCACAAAACTATGAAGGACTTTGTTCGCCGCAGGAGATGGACGAGGTAACGCCGCGTGTCTGCAGGTAGTCGCTCAGTTTCCGCAGCAGCTTTAACAGTGCCTTATTCACACAGGAAGTGTAAGATAACGGTGAGAGGGCCGTGGAGGATGGTGCCACCGATCCGCCTGAGCGACATCTCTCTGATGCCATGCCTGGCTCAGAGCAGCGTGGACCAGGTCCCCGTTTGGGCCGTCAGTGACAAGGGAGACGTCTTGTGTCGGTTGGGGGTAACGCCTCAAAACCCAGCTGTAAGACACGAAATATACAAATTGAAACCTCGAGACGTGTTCAATAATAAGAGCAGGATTATTTTGTATGATTAGATGTCTGGATCGTAATAATCTCTGTGGACTCTGCCTAATCTCTGGTTTTGTTTTTGCAGGGCAGCTCCTGGCTGCATGTGGGCACAGATCAGCCCTTTAAGTCCATCTCGATCGGAGGAGCCAATCAAGTGTGGGCCATCGCCAAGGATGGAGCCGTCTTCTACAGAGGGTCAGTGTCCCCGCAAAACCCCGCAGGTCAGTCCAGCATGTAACTTCAGCGCTTGAAGGAAGAGATCAGCAGGGCTATTCAACTGGGGGGGCACAGTTACTGAAGCCAAGAGCTCAGGAGCCAGACATCCAGCAGTTATTGTCATTAAGTTTGTTTTATGGTTTAAAATCTAGTTTTATTTAAAAATGAACCCATCGGTGGGCTGAACTGAGCTCACCTGTGGGCCTGACTTGGCCCCCGGGCCGCCAGTTGAATAGCCCTGGAATAAAAGTGAAACGCCGTCAGAGTTCAACATCTCCACTCTGATCCCTCTGCAGGAGAATGTTGGTACCACATCCCCTCCCCCCAGAGACAGACCCTCAGACAGCTCTCTGTGGGCAGGACTTCTGTCTTTGCTGTAGATGAAAACAGTAAGTCATAATCTCTGCTCCTTGAAGTGAGAGAATCCTCATGAAGTACCGTATTGTTCGGCCTATAAGGCGCATTTAAGGTACACGGCGCTCAAAAATGTCTATCGTTTTGTATTTTATGGGTCACAACTGAACAATGTTGAGTTATTGGGAATGAGTTGAATAAAGTTTGACTTATCTGGCCGTTTTGTTTTGCTTAATGCGCCTTATAATCCTGTACTGTGTGAATAATGTCTTGCAGGCAACCTGTGGTACAGACAGGGCCTCACACCCAGCTACCCTCAGGGCTCCGCCTGGGAGCTCATCTCCAACAACGTCACCAAGGTGTCCGTGGGACCGTTGGACCAGGTCAGTGTCGCTACCACCAGCAGGAGACGACGACTTGGGGGCAAAACATGTCTAAGGTTGACAAAACAAGATTTAACAAGCACGGGTTGGATCTGTTTACTTCAATCAGTGCAACTATTAAATACAAAGTGATGAACAGATTATGTACATAAAGAAAATGATAAGTCTGATATGAAAGTGAAGGATGTGTTGACATGCTCGGATAAATACGATGAAACACTGATTGAACAGAAGCATGAATGTTTAAAAACCTATCAATGAAATGATTTCTTCAGACCACGAGTCATTTAACGACACCCATGGTGAATATTTTATAACTACGTGTACGTGAGGAAAGTTAGTTTTTTTGTAGTTGATGGACTGGGTTTTTCATCAGCTTTGTGTGATTTGTTTATTTTTGTTTTTTTTACAAAGTAATCAAAGACTTCTTTAAAAGTGACTTCAAAAGCTGCACCATAATGAGTGTTTCAAATGAACGATGGTGTAATCTAGGTGCCTCTTTCCTCTTCAGGTCTGGACCATCGCCGATGGAGTTCCAGGTTTCCCAGCTGAGACTCCTGGAGCCATCAGCCACAGACTGGGCGTGGGGCCCCTGCAGCCCAAGGGCCTCTCCTGGGACTATGGTATAGGGGTGAGTCAACTATTCTATTTTTTTTTTTGTCTTTATTTTCCATTCTGTTTATTTAAATGTATTATTTTGTGGGTCATAGTGAACACTGAGCTGATCTGATTTTATCGTGTGAATGTTTATGAAGCATTCACTCTGTCGTGATCCGTTTTTCTTCCATGCGTTTTTCGGCGTGATCCTCATCCTGCAGTTTTCAAGCTATTTCAATAAATAATGTCAAAATGTTCAGCCGTTTCAGGACAGTCCTGCTATGACTTTTGGTATTGGTGCAACTTCAGCTTTTTGAGATATTTAGTCTTTTCTGCCATTTTTTTTTCTCATAAATGAACTGAGCTCATTTTACATCCTTCATATCTTTAGATCTGTTTACATTTTACTGCTCCTTTCACATTCTGTTCTGGTTCAGCTTCTTTCAGCTTCCTTGTGCAAATTTAAACTTTTTTTTTCAGCTAATTTCAGCAGTTTTTTTGCTGTTTTGTGCTCCTTGCAGATTCTTTCTGCTAACTACATTTTTGTGCTTCTTCTAACTTCTGTCTACTAATTTCAGCTCGTTATGCTCCTTTCAGCTTATTTTTGCAAGTTTCAGCTTTTTCTATTACCGTATTTCAGCTACAATGTAGCGGTTTTTATGCTAATTTCAGCTTTATTCAGATAATTTCCACTTTTTATACTCATTTCCACTTTTTTCAGCCTAATTGGGCTAACATGTTCTTTCCACAATGGGAGTGTGCTGCTTGTGGGACTCGGTTTGTTTGTGGCTCCTCGAATTGATGAAGTCCTTTGGATAAAAGATGAAACATCTAAAAAAAAAAAAAGCCATCTATATGACCTGATGGAACATTGTTGGATCTGTTCTCTCTGCTTTCTTCTGTTAATTTAAGCTCGTTCTAGCTTTTCAGCTACCTGTTTAGCTAATTTTAGCTGTTTTCAGATTAATTCAAATTTTTCATCTCTACTACGTTCAGCTTATTTCTGCTAGTTTCAGTTATTTCAGCTACTCTTTTAAACTGTTGGCTAATTTGAGCTTTTTCAGTTTATATTTTTTGCACTCATTTCAACTTTTTTCAGCCTAATTCAGCAAAAAAAATGTGCTCTCTCCACTTGCTTCTGGGCAATTTAAGCTTCATTGTGCTTTTTAAGCTTTTTTTTTTTTTTTTCAAATCTCAGCTTTTTTCAGATATTCCACTTTTTTATGCTCATTTCTGCTTCTTTCAATAAGCACGCTCTTTCTGCTTTCTTCTGCTAATTTAACTTTGTTCTTCAATTTCAGCATGTTTTTAGCTAATTTCAGCTGTTTTTCAGCAAGTTCTTCTGCAAACAGCACTTTGTCTGGCCTTGTTGCTATTTTAAGTGCTTTTTAAATAAAATGCTATGGTAATAAGCATTTTTGCAGGAAATTCTCCATTTGTGTGTTACTGTCAGAATATCAAACGTGTGTAGTCACCAAATAAAAAACATTTATTTATCTTGTTTGACTCTCAGGGAGGATGGGAGCACCTCAGTGTAAGGGGGAACTCAGCAGAGCCTCCGCGGGGTCCCCACCCTCCTCCTGCTGGCCCCTCACGCAGCCCAGCCCCCCAGCGATCAGCGACTCAAGTGAACGGGAGCGCAGTGGTCGTGTAGCTTCCTCCTTCTCCTCCTCTGCCCTGCGTGTGCCTGGATCTTCCTCCTCCTCCCTTCATGTGAAGGGACTGCACAACCACACTTTCGACTCCGAGCTCCAGTTTGGATGGATGGATGGATGGATGGATGGATGGATGGATGGATGGTACAGTCCGACTCATTGCACAAGTAGAAATCGTTGAAATATTTGAAGCGAGAGAAACGGGAGGGATGGATCAACGTGGGACAGTAATGCATGTTTGGTCTGCCTTGGCTTTGGCTGCTGTGTTTTGGGATGAAGCAATACCTTTTATGCATTTTTTTAACTTCTCTGTGAAAACCCAGGTGGGGGGGCTGCGGTCCGAGTCCTACAAACACACAATCACTGTAGCCTAACTGTTTTTTCTTTCTCTAAATGTTGTTTGAATCGAGTTCATTCATTTCTGCTTTCGCTGAAGTTTGTCTCGTTTGTGATGGAGTGTTTTTCAGCCATATAGTTTTAAAGAATTCTGACGGCTTTTAAAAAAAGCTCCACTCTGTACAAGTTTGCTCTTTACCGTCTGACAAGAACTCCTGCAATAAGGAACGATCAGCATCGAGCTTGGTGAGTAAAAACCTGACGGTGACTGTTGACACGGCAGCAGGTCTGAATGTCACCACGACTCGTTGGAGATTTGCTTTAACTGAAATGTGAAATAAAGACTGAAGATGCTGCTAATGCTTCCTGTCGTTACGAGACGCTCCAATTGAATTTAAATAGAATAAATCTTGTGTTTTTCACTTGGTTAGGCTTCTGACAGAACTATTTTAACTCGAGCTTATCCATCCCTCTGTTTTCAGTTCCCTTCTGTTGCCTGACAGATTCAAAGCCTTCCCACACCATGATGCAACCATCACCATGCCTGATCACAGGGAAAGATCGTGGACGCATGAATAGCTCGTACAGCTGGGGAACAATCTCCCAAATGATCATGGGCTTCAGTGTTTTCAACCGATGTGTTTTAATGGATCTGAAAAACTATTAGATAAATCAGGAAACTTTTTCATTTTTAATTCAAGTTATAATTCATCATCATAAACCTTCATGAATTTAGGACATTAACTAGCTAGCTAGAAAGATTAGATTAAGATTAGACGGATATATTAGAGATATTTTAGAGATTATAGATTAGATGGATATAAATTAGATTAGGTAGACATACTAGATTATAAATATAAATTACAGGTAAATATACTAGATTATAAATTGATTAGATATAGATTAGATGGATTACATTAGTCAAGTCAAATTTATTTATAGAGCACATTTAAAACAAACTGTTACCAAAGTGCTTTACATAGATTAGATTAGTACATTAGATACTTTATTAATCCCAGGGGGGAATTTGAGTTCACGGAAGCGTTTTTTTTTTAGGTGCTCTTTAAATCTGAGGTTGTAAAACGTGCAAAAAAAAAAAAAAACCGACAGCATCACCTAATTTAAATGTTTTTATTTTATTTTGAGTGATTCTGAAATCCTCATGGAAGACGTCACGGCCGCTGAAAAGGAAACTACTCCGCCATATTCTTTATCTACTATAAGTAACTGGACAAAGTGTGTATAGAAGTTCATTTGCATTTATTTTCATATTAAATTGTGTAATTAGAAACATTTCATTCAGTTACACCAAGCATGATCATCATGAAGTAAAAATATTTAAAATCTACCGGTTTAAAGGACAGCATGGATTCACATGTGTGTCTTAAATTAACCGTAGGTTCAGTAGAAGGTGGCTGATATGTTCCTTTAGATTTAAGTTACAAAATGAAACCTCATACCTATACGTCAGTTGCATCTGTTCCCCATTTACAAACAAACAAAACAAAACAATTTATGTACATCAGAACATTTTCAACATTAAATTACAATTCTCAAATGTGCAAGATTAAGCAAATGTATACTGTAGTCAGATAAAAGATTTCCTTAAATAATGTTCATGTTGAACTGAGGCTGATACCTATGATAGAGTAGTCACGTTAAAGAGATAGTTCAGATCTTCTTTAATGGAGTTCTGTGGAATGGATGTAAATATCTTACCTGCTGTAGACAACTTTGAGCAACCTCAGTTTGGAGAAATTGAGTTTAACTGTGCGCCACCTCTGTAGTGGTTCAAAGAGCCATCTACAGCAGGTAAGATATTTATTCACAGAGCATCACTTTAAAAATAATCCAAACTAATCTGTTTGAGGAGCAGGTGTCTACAACACAGATAGACAAAAGTGACACATATTCAAGGAAAATTTCCTTACAGGAACTGTAAAAGCTACAGTTTTATACTTTATAACTGCAAATAAAGACATTAGGATTCATCTAGAACCTTTTGTGTAGAACCACAACAAAGAGACGCTCCAGACAACAATAATCTGCAAATGATTTGATGCAGTGAATTAATTGCAACTGGACTTTTTTTTTTTTAATCTGTGATGGCGTGTAGAAAAAAACCCCAAAGCATTATGCCTCATAATGTTTGAATGATAAACGCAGCCACGTTTTCATTTGTTCTTGAAGTCCCTGCACACGACGGAAGAAGAAACCAGGTCGTCCTATGAACCGATACAGCTTTAAACTCCACAAAGTTCATTGCACATTTGTTTACAAACAGCTCGCCGCATTTTCTCCACCGTGACGTTTCAAAAATAGAGGTTCCCGCTTTCTTTTTTCTTTTCGAACACAATTTGAATGATTTGTGGCGACAGTAAAACGGAGTTGAGGTGCTGCTTTTCGCAGCATCAACGGGCACCACAACTGGAGCCGGTGGCACGAAACAACTTCCTGCACGTTTCAAATAAGATAAAGCTTTACAAAGTTTTACAGTCGAACCACTTGGATCAGAACTGATTTAACAATCTGATGACGCCCGGCGTTTTCACCGTCTCAAATCCACGACTCGGCTGAAGATGTTCCTGTCAAACGAGAAGGAAAACGCAGTGCGTCGCCTCTGCAGGTGTCCTGAACATGGATGGAACCACGTTTGCAGTTCTTTAACTTCAAATACTGCTACAGAAAGTTTGCACACAGAATTTCTCTTCAAAAAGGAGACAGATTAAACTTACCATGAAGTTAATAACAAATAAATCCTCCTAAAGAAAAAAAAAAGGCAACCACGGAAATAACCGCACAAGCAGGAGCAAAATAATTAGTGTTAAATATCAAGTCTGCTGAGATGAAGGAGCTTATTCCTGTTTGTAGTGATTACCAGCAGTGATGGATTTATTCATCCACAACATAGAGTCGTTTGTTTTTATTTGCATTTTCTTCATCTTTTTGTTTTTTTGGTGAGGCAAGCGTTGTGGAAAGAGGCAACAAAAAGCAGCAGCCACACACCTGGAATGATGAGGATTTAAATAAAGCTCCTTGCATTCTTAGAATTGTTTCTTCCAAGCTGCAGCTGGAGAGGGCGTGTGGCTCAGAACCGGACTGGGCCTCGTCCGTGCGATCTGACGAAAAAGTTTTCTGCCTGACAGGAGCGCCCACAAACCGTGCTTTCATTCTGCCGTTCCCAACGAGGTCGGGCTCAGCGTCGTTACTCAGTAGTGTCGTGACAAACTGTCATTTATCAGTCTAGTCTTTTTCTCCATCCTCGCTGCTTCCTGGAGTGAACAAGGAGGGGAAATAAGTTACACGTCTGGTGAAGCTACAGACAAGACAACGTTCAGATGATGTGTAACTTGAATTTCTTTGACTACTAAACAACCAGAACTAGTCATTTTAAAAGAAGATCCACCCTCCTTCAGTTGTCATTTTACCTGATCAGGACATCAGAAAAAAAGTTGATCTATTTTTAACCTCAAGTGAACAAAAACACAGATGCCACCATGTTGCCATTTATTAAACTAAAAAGGATGCAAAGTGGAAAAGATGTGTGAAAAACTAAGTCTACCCCCCTGACATCAGGACTATTCAACTACATTGCTCAAATAATTGTTTTTAAGTGTTAATCTTGTTAAATTCTTGTTAAAAGTCATCCCGTGCACGCTCCCGCGGCCGCCATTTGGCAGCCCATCGATTTTTGCCACAACACCGGCCCACATTTCCGGGTTGTCAGCGGTGACGAATAATAGATGCGACTTATACAGCGAAGCAACATATTTATGGATTTTTCCACTTTATCAGACATATTTGGACTGATGCGACTTATAGGGTGGTGCGACGTGTACGGCGGAAAATACGGTAGTTTTATTTAAAAATGAACCCACTGGTGGGCCGAACTGAGCACACCTGTGGACCTGATTTGGCCCCTGGGCCATCAGTTAAATAACCCTGATCTACAGCTTGTAGGACCACCTTTGACTTTATTAGTCTCTCGTATGGTTCTGGAGAATTTCAGGCCTCTCCTCTTCTTTGAGGTTTGCAGACCAGCTCTCTCTGGGTTCTACCACAGCATTTCAATCGAGCTGGGGTCTGGACTTTGATTCTTTTCTTTTTCAGTCGTTCTGTTGTAGAGTTGCTGCTGTGTTCAGAACCGTTGTCCTGATGTGTGAGCCAGTTTTGACCAAGCCCATCAGATAGATGGCCTCACATTTGTCTCAAGACCTGGTATATAGAGAGGTTTATGACCCAAATCATCACCCACTACCACCATGCTTGACAGCTGGTGTAATTTGGCCATAATGCACAGGGGCATTTTTTGAAGAAAACCAAGCACAATATATCAAAATAAACATCTCTGCTTTGGTATCTGAAGGACTTTGTTCCAAAAGCTTGATGGTTTACTGAGATGCAACTTTGCACGAAGGTAGAAGCAGCAAGAGTGAACTTAGCTTTTCCATTCTGGCTTTGCTCATGTCCAACATGATGTAATGTGGTGTTTTTGTACATTTCAAGTTAGATGTTAATCTTTTTAGAACCTGCTAAAAATAGATCGTTTATAACATCCTGATATGTAAAACTCAAAACAAAGGAGTACTCCTTATGACTGTGTGATATTTTGAGAAGTGGCATCAACTTGCCTCCTTGTTCGATGTCGGAGTCGGTGAGGTGTGTGAGAGAGAAGCTGGCGATACTTGCTGGTGAGATGGAGAACCGGGAGTAAGTGGAGGAGCTGCTCCAGCTGGGCTCCAGCACTCGCCGGACTGCAGGGGTCGTAGAAGAAACCACCTTAGAGACGGGCTCTTTATCCGTCTTGGGCAGGAAGGCTGGAGCGTGGGGGGTGAAGTCATCATCCCACTCGAAACCACCACCTGCAAGAGTTTTATGAACATGTCTGAACGCCTCAATGAAGAGCATGTATCAGGTGGTTCTACCGTTACCTTCTTCATCTGTTGAGCTTTCAGAGTTAACAAAGCGGTTCAGGTAGCTGGATGTGGACACAGGACTGCTGAACTCCGGAGTCTGACTGCTCAAGCCTGACGAGTGGTCACTAAGTTCCTTAGTGGGGGTCTCCTAAATCACAGAACATTGAAACATCATTTAGATACAAGTCAGACAAATAACTACTGTTTTTTACGCCGTATAAGTCGCACCTTTTTGCATAAATTTGAAAGTCCTGCGACTTACACAACAAAGCAACTAATATAAATTTTTTCCCATATTTATAAAATAATTTTTGGCCGAGATTTGATGATTTCACTCATTCTGACATGGAAAATATTGAACACTACCATTTTCAGCCACTAGAGGGCATTCGACTAATATGGCAAGCTAAGTGTTTCATTAATAGGGAAAAGTGGCTATTAATGAGGTACTTGGCTTGCCATACCAAGCCGCCTTCGTCTTGCTCTGGAACTCCTGGAGCAAACGTCAAACCAGCTGCATTTCGCAGCGTCATCCAGGTGAAATGCAGCTGATTTGACCGTTAAAGTGCATTTATTAAAGGAAAAGTTAAACTGAGAAACACCTTTACTATAATTCTGAGTAAACAAATAATTGTTTTTAAGTGTTAATCTGGTTACATTCTTGGTAAATTTCTCCTGTGCACGCTCCTGCAGCCACCATTTGGCAGCCAATCGATTTTTGACACACCGGCCCATGTTTCCAGGTGGTCAGCGGTGACACATAATTGATGCGACTTATACGGCGAAGCGACTTATTTAAGTTTTTTCCACTTTATTAGACATATCTGGACGGTGGCAAGTACGGTAAATCTGACTGTTTAGTGATGTTTTTAACTCTTTACCTGGTCAAATAGGTAGACTGTGACATCATCGAAGAAGGACACAGCTCTTCTGGAGTTCTTGACACTGCTCCTCTCAGAAAACTGGAGAGATGATGCATTAACGTCCAGCGTAGTGGGTTTCAACAAGCTCTTCAGGTTCTTTGCGCTGCTGTCGTCTGATATGATGATCGGCACCGGGTGCACGGTTTCATCCTCGCTTTCCGAGCTGGAGCTGTGCAGCTGATACGCACGCATGTCGTCATCAGAGTCGTCACTGTTCTCGTCCTCCTCGTCGGCGTCCACGCCATCTTCCAGTCCGTCCAAATCCGATCCGTCCCGCCTGCCCAGGTATCGCCCCTCCACGTCCGGCTCTTTGATTTTATGGCGGTCTGTGGCGTACGTCCTGGTCAGTTTAGCGTGAACTGCGCCCTCCAGTGCCGGGTTCGATGTGGCAGCAGACGGCAGAGTTGTGGCTTCTGGATCTTCTGACGGACTCAACTGATCTGGAATTGTGTCGAGGAGCTTTGGCTTGTTTGCATCTTTCCTGTGGCTGTCGATGGATCCTGTCACCGCGCTCTGATGTTTCTCCGTCATATTTGAAACCATCTCTGGAAGTATGTCCTCAACACAGATATTGGCTGTCCCTCCGAGCTCAGAATGAGCTTCAGAATGAGCAGCTTCAGAATCAGCAGCTACAGAAGGTTCTTGCTGAGAAAATAAAGCATCAACATCTCTTTCCTTGTAGTGTTCCAGAGTCCGGCCTTCAGAGCTCCTCAGCCACGTGACTTCAACAGTGTTTCCTGCCGTCGGCTCTTCAGACTTCTTTTCGGTTTCTGATTCATTGTCAGAGAAGTAAGCAGAGTCCCGATAATTGCTACTTATAAGTGGTTCCTCTGCAGGAGCTACATGATCTGACTGCTGATCCTCACTGGGAGTCTCCAACACACCCTCTGCTTCAGAGATTATTATTCTTGGTGGAACCAAGTTTGCAGAAGCTGTGAGCTCTTCTGACTCTTCTTCTTTGGTAATGCTGATGCCATTTTTTACAGGAGAGCTGTCTTCAACGTTTGGCTGAGAGTTCCACTCAGGAGACTCCAGGTTTTCGGTCTCGTATCCACTGTCTGATATTTTATACGGAGGCTGAAGTTTGTCTTGAGGAACCTGAGCATTCAGCTCCTCTCCTTGCTCTCCCAATCTATGGATGTCAAGAGAGTCTAAAGAGTCTGGTGTCTCAGCTGCGTTGTCTACAGTTGGAACAGTGGTAGACATGCTGTCCTCTAGTAGACTGTCCTGACTGATCTGATCTAAAGATGGACCAGATACCAGGAGAGAAGATCTTACAGGAGGATGTCCATTACTTTCCATGAAGGATTCATCTTGATCAGAGAGATTTGTTTCCAGATCTATATCAGCATCCTCAATCAGCTCGCTTAACGGATCGTTACTTGTTAGGTCTTCATTCTGTCCATTTTCTGAAGAAGACACGTGAATTTGCAGGTTTTCAGATATTTTAGCTCCTGTGGCCTTTGAGGCTTCAAGGTCAATTTCAAGGCTGGAAATTTTGGCATCTGTGCACAACGAGTCTGTAATGGCACTGTCAGAGAATGTAACGATGGGCCCAAACCTGTCTGAAGTAGAATCCAAACCAGAGTCTGCACACCTGTCTGAAGACTTCCGCAGATCGAGGCGTTTGGTGAAAGAGCCATTTCTAACTGGCAGCTGGTCGTTCGTGTCGTCGTCTGTGACCACGGTAATGGAAGGCACCAGAGTTTCATTTCCTACCAGAGACTGGTGCATCTGCTCCAAGCTGATACTTTGAGAGTCTAAAAGTTCGTGTGTGGAGAATGTGCTACTCGCTGCGGGTTTAAAATATGTATCTGGTGCGTTTAAGCTGCCTAAATTCTCGAGGTTGTTCCAAGAACTCATTTTGAAGGATTCCTCTGGCTCATGGACGACGCCGGGTAAGAGAAAGTTCTGCTGGGAACTGGGGAAGCTGGTGAAGTCTTTCATTAGGTTCTGTTCTCTCAGAAACACAAAATTATCAGCCAGTTTGTCAGTACTGAAAAGCCTTTTTTCATCTGCGTTCCCTCCTTCCCCTTCCAATGAAATGGACAGGTGAGGGGGCACCTCTAAAAAAGAACCCCCAAAGCTGTGACTTGAATTTATTTCTTGGACCTCTGAGCTGCCTTCATGGAAAGGGTTCCCGCTGCGCTCTGGAAGCTCCAGAAAATTCTGCCTCCACAGTGGCGAGTCCTCGTGTTTTGATCCATCCTCAGTGAAAATGTTGGTGTGGTAAGGACTGTCGTTTTCAAGAGATGACCAGACGTGGCTGTCAGGTAGATACGAGTCCTTTGAGTCAATGCTTTGGTGGAAAAAGTCAGCATCGGTGCTAGACTCATCCAGACGGGCGTCTTGAAGAACTATAAAATCTTTATGATTTGTTGAAAAGCCCAGGTCATTTCCCTCCTCGCCAACAGCACTCTCACCTTGTTCCTCTAACTGGATGTAATATTCATTTCCATTGGATGACTGTTGCGCATCAAACACAGGTACGATGCCAGGAATTCCTGAAGGAGTGTTCCTGCTTTCTGCTCCTCCTGCCCTGGCTGAAGGATCTGGGAAATGAGCCTGGATGTCCTCCCTGGAAGCAGGAAAGAACATGCTGTGGTAGTTGAGTGTTGTGTCCAAACCTGAGCCTCCGTGGCTGCCGTCGTAGTGGTCGTGCTTGGCCGCCTCCCAAACATACTCGAAGCTGAGACCTTTGCTCGTTTCTGTGACGGTTAGAACTTCATCTAGCTCCTGTCTCAGGGCATCGTCGGCAAACTGCTCCAAGATTGGGAAAGAGGAGTGGCTAACAGTCTGCCGTGTGGACGTGCTGGGCTTGAGTGCATCCCAACGTTGCTCAAAGTCTTCCTCTACGTCCTTCTGGCCTTGCATGCGAAGATAGATGAGCAAACGATGTACTTCCTCTGCTGTGGCTCTCCTTTCTGGAGACAGCCAACAAAACTGCAAGACCTCATACCTGTAGTTACACATAAAACAAACATCTACTTTAGACTTTACACTTAATTTAACAAGGCCTGCAACACAAAATACAAAAACAGAAGTTTTACCAGACTCACCATCTGTCAGAATAAGGAAGCTCTAGCTGTGGCTTAAACAGTTTGACTTGTTGCTCCTTGATGACATGGTTCAGGACCTCCCTGTCAGACAGATGCGGGTACGGCTGAGTCGCATTCTCAAGCAGCTCCCATAAGGTGACCCCTAAGGCCCTATAAACAAACAAGGAAGTAACAGCTGCCGAGGTCAAATATGAGGATGTAATACATGGGATCAGATGACATTTGTAGGAAATGAATCCACAGGACTCAAAAGATCTTTTAGTAAAGTCTCGTCTCTATTCGATTTAGTTAACGCTGTTATATGCGTGTGTTTGCTTTAAAATCAGGGTGACACATACCCCACACTCTTTATCTGTTAATGAAAACATCCTGTGGTTAGCTGACATCTTGTACCCACCACACATTGCCAGGCTTGGTCTGCTCCAAAGTGACGACACCCCCATGACGCTCCCCCACCAGCTCAGGAGCCAGCCACCGCAGGGGCGCAAACACGTCATCCTCTGTGATGATGTAATCCTCCTATAAGAACAGATATGCTTCCGTGAAGACGCTACTTTTCCCTCTCAAGTAAAAATGTCACATGTTAATAGAACATCTGTAATTAAAAAGCACCATTAAAAGATAAATGTGGCTGTTTGAAGCAGCACATCCTGTCACTGCCTCTCCCTTTTCTTACAGAAATAGATCCACTGGGTGACCTTCTCTCATGAGTATTAGATTCTGACGGCTTATCTGAAAGCTCAGCAGTATTTCAGGAATGCAGCAGATCCATCTGCTGAGGACATACGCAGCACGTCCAGTTACAGAGGAGGACAATCTGAAGTTTTCAATGAAATCAACTCTGCTTGATCAAAGACTTTCCAAAAAATACTTGTTTTCTTTCAGGCCTCCTAAAGGCTTAAAAATATCAAAACTTGGGAAATGTCAGCTTTGAAGGTGGAGGAATTTTAACCTTAGAGTGAAATAAATGCCACAACAGAACAAACAGAAGGAAGAACAGATTCTTCTTCAGGAACCTGGAATCAAACTGGGATATGTCTCAGACTAACTGGAACATCTTTTTTTTAATTTGGCAAAAGCACAAAAGAACAAGTTCTCATCTCTAAATGCCTTCAGTGTATCACAAACTCTTGTTGACGATCCAAAAGTGAAGCTACTGTAAAACAATAAGTTGGTCTGGTTAATGGAAGGAACATTAAACCCCTGCAGCACCAGAGTTTTCCTCGAGCAAGCTGACCTTAGTTTTTGCGAGCTCATATTTCAGATAAATTATACAACAAATCGGGAGACAACTGGTGTTTACAGCACGTGTCACCAAAACGTAAGCTGTAGATGGACTATGTAAATGGTAGTGACACACCAAGTAGTTTTATACTGGTGCTTTTTCAGTCAGGGTGCTTTTATTGATACAACACCTACTGCCCACATCTCCAATCATCTTACACCTTTGGGTGTCCCGGGACCTGAGTAGGACGGTGTAATTTATTTTTAAAGGAGAACTGAGTGAAAACTGGTCAAGGCATTAGGAAGTAGGAAGTAAGTAGGATACAATTACAGTAGGAAGTAAATAGTGCAGCTTTACTGCCAGAATACGTGCATCCCTCACCGCTGTTGATCCATTGGACCGGTGGAATTGAAGGAATATAGATCCCTGGCTAGCAGAATTAGCAGCACATGTCTCTGCAGCTAAAGCCTTTAGTTTGTTCAGCTGCAGGACTTGGCTTGAGTAAACTTTAACTGTGTGAGCAGAGTCATTTTAACCAAAAACATGAAACAGGCAAACATCTTTAATCATAAAGCAGCAACATTAGGACAACTGGATTATTGAGCATGCATCAGGATTAGGACAACTTCCTTGAATATGGTGCTGTGCTGACACTTGAGCTATATTAATTAGCTCTGCATAAGGATAAAATAAGGACATGTGAGAAGCATGACCTGGGGCGAATACTCAAATTTTTAATTATTACCAACAAATGTGACATGTTTTTGCTTAAACTGCTCATCCCTATAAGGATACTTGCTAATATAGAGAAAGATTTACTGCAAGTCCGCGTGTCTTAAAATTGTGAATTTCTGAGAGCGATCCTACTGCAACATTTACTTTAATCAAAAGAAGCTAAATGTTTTGACCAGTTCATTTCCAGTTAAACGTAATAAACTTTAGGATGGCTTCTTGTTTTGAGTTCAAATAAAATAAACAAGCTGACGTTTGTGCTTACTTTGTATCTGTAGGGTCCGACACCATAATCACCCACTTTGACTGTAAGATCTGCAGTCAGGTAGCAGTTCCTCAGAGCCAGATCACTGTGAAAACAGAGGGGGACAACATCTGCATGATCTACTGAGTGGGTTACATATTTTACAAACGCAGTAGTCAAAGCTTTGACTGATCCTAAATAAAACAACAGGCGTGTTGCTGCACACTGCTGTGAAGTGTTACTGTCTGTCCTTTTTGTGTGAATGTGGAACATCTGCGTGTGAAAGTGGGAGATCACAGAACAGTAGTCGGAGTGGGGGAGGCAGCGAGAGAAGTCTGGCAGGGATCACAAATGATTAAAGCATCAACAGGAAAATAGTGCAAGAGCCTGGTCGTTTCCCCCTGCTCATCACATTGCAACACTTACACAGGGGCTATTCTGGACTCGGGTGTACAACAGAGGGATTGGAGGGGAGACAAACTAAGGAAGTTTTGTTTGTCTGCCAGGAGAGGGCGTAACAAGCTCTGAGGCTCTGCACAAGAAAACGGATGGTGGTTCTTTCATTCAAGACGCAGGCTTTGGTTTCCTTTTGCTCCTGCAGGACTGTCTGCACACCAAGACCTTTTAAAACCACCCAGTGACAAACACTGCTGACACTAGTATCCTTGTGTGCACATGGTCCAGCTACTGTCAGATCCACTGGAACGTCTAGAAAATAAACGAAGGTGCATTTTAAACCCTCCTGTCATCGGCTGTAGATCAACGTTTGAACATACAGACAGCAGCAGGAAAACAGAGTTCTGACTATGAAATAGTCTGGAAGAGATCCCTGTCCGTAGACGTCCAGATGCCTTCTACTTCCCTCTACCTGCTTACAGGTTCAGTGACAGAGTCATTATTATTAGGTTTAACTTTAGATTCGTTAATAATTACCAAACAATAAAGACTTGGACTTTGTACAAACAGGCCTCGAGAAAAACACATTCTACTTGGTAAGATAGTCTTTCTGTAGTACTCTGTCCAATATATCTAGGTGCAAGAGCAAAAAAAAAAAACTAGAACAAGGATGATTTTTCACCAGCAGCGAGCGCATTTTAAGAAAATATTCACCGTAATTTTCCGCCGTACACGTCGCACCACCCTGTAAGTCGCATCCGTCCAAATATGTCATAATAAAGAGAAAAATCCAGAAATGCATCGCTTCATCGTATAAGTCGCGTCTATTACGCGTCACCGCTGACAACCTGGAAATGTGGCTCGGTGTTGTGCCGAAAATCGATTGGCTGCCAAATGGCAGCCGCGGTAGAGTGCACGGGAGGACTTTAACAAGAATTTAAAAAGATTAACACTTAAAAACAATTATTTGTTTGCTTCACTTTATAGTAAAAAGTGAGTCTGAGTCTACCATTTGTTTAGTAAATGCACTTTGACGGACAAATCAGCTGCATTTCAAAAGCCTCTACTCGCAAACATGAACACGTAGAGGGCGACTCGATCCATTTCTTCCACAATTTAACAAGATAATCACCTAAAAACAATTATTTGTTTGCTCGACTTTATAGTAAAGGTGTGTCTCAGTTGAACTTTTACTTAATAAATTCACCTTAATGGTCAAATCAGTTGCATTTCGCCAGGGCTGTGCAGCAAAATGAAGCTGATTTGATGGTTGCTCCTGGACGAATGTGGCAGTGTATGGCAAGTCGATTGTGTCATTAATAGTCACTTTTTCCTATTACATGACACAACGGCATGTCATACAACCCGAGTGCCATTGAGCATCCGAAAATGGCAGTGTTCAATATTTTCAGTCAGAATGAATGAAAACGGTCATATCTCAGCCAAAAATTGGTTTATAAATCTGGGGAAAATCCATAAATAAGTCGCAAGGCATGCAAATTATGCAAAAAACAAAAAAAAACACGCGACTTATAGGCCGGAATATACGGTAAATGTTGCAAAACTGAAAGTGAACAAGCTTTTGCAAGTTTAAAGTAAATAAACAAGACTGCGTAAGTCTCAAAGAAACTGTCAGATTTAATTGGACACATAAAACAAATGCATGGATTTGTGTTTGTTATTTTTAAAATAAATCCCTGGTTTTATATTTGGTTTGGATTAATAGCCACTGGCATAGTGCGATGCCACTTGGTAGTAAATACAGACCAACAAAACCCAAACATCTCACTGTCTTCAGAATGTAATTAGCTTAGTTTAGATGAAGGTACTAAAGTTACTGTTGAAATCAATCATCAATAAAAATAAATAAACAAACTAGGCCTCGAGCGTTCCTGTTTTGCCCAATCAGGTTTCAAATGTCACTCTTCAGCTCCCCCGTTTCTACCAAACATGGTCACTTCTGGTTGCAAAACGAGCGAGATGGTGACGAGCGAATGCCAAAGTCAAGGTTTCAAATGGCAGCTGGAAAGCCAGCGGGTGACATCATGTAAAAAAAAAAAAAAAAAATCCTCTTTGACATAAAGAATATAAAAATATGTTTTGGAAGCTCTAAAAACCGATGGAGTTTCTGATCAAAACCTTCAAAATAGGACATCTTTATTATTTATAAGATAAACCTTATTTGTCAAATGCACAATCATTCATAGTATAATATACAGCGTCTAATCTAGAGTTAAATCGAACACAAGGAGGATTTTCTTCACGTAGCGCAGGGCTAATTGAGTTCTGGTCTTCTGCAGATACATTCTTCCCCTTGCATAGCGATGCTGAGGTTTCAGTCTGGGACATGAGTTCACACAGAGGAACCTCATGTCTTTGTTTGTGCACCACAACCAGCCAGTCCCTCACGCACGGTTGGCAGCATGTGCCTGTGCTCGTAATCATCCAGTTGACATTTGCTTAATTTATTCATTCACCTATAAAGCGTCTGAGAATTATTTTCATGGCTTCGTATGAAATTAAGTTCTCACAGAAGGAAGCACGAAGACCTCTCTGAGCTGTAACAAGGATAAAAACACAACGCCCGATATGTGGATATCCATTTACATGCAAAGAGCAGAATCATCATATCCCTCTGGCAGCGGACAGCTGACACTGTGGCAATGCATGGGAGCTGTGTAATTGGAACCCTTCGAGCTTATTCTGAGCATGCAAAATAGAGCTGATGAGCTGAGCATCATATGTTACCCCCCAAGCGCCGAGTTCCCAACACCCCCTGCTGGCTGCTTGCCAGACACCCAGTACTGGCTGAGGTGAAAATGAATATGAAGTACAGCCTCTCTAAGCGTGCACCCCTTTTTTGGAGAACACTGGTCCTCTTGAGACCAGTTGGACAGCCAGGGTGCAAGTAAAACTAACAGTTGACCCACATCTTCATAATCGTTTCATACAATGTTTATGACTGTGTAATCAGCACATGACAGGCACATACCTTTAAAATTTAATACTTGTTTCTCAACAAATCAATCACTGCACTCTGTATTTTATGTAACCTAACTCTTAGACATAATAAAGGCAAAAGCAGTTCAAACCAGTAAACTAGACAATGACAGTTATTTTAATCGCCAAAAAAAATGCCCGTTTTCCTGTAAACAGTGTTTTTCTGTTTGTTTTTTGTGAGTACACCCGTATTTTCTTAACTGTGTGATCAGTTTACGTAAATCAAAACTAAGTGTGGCAGTTCTGAAGTGCTACCTGTGCAGGAAGTTGTGCTTGTGAAGATGTGTGACGCCAGCAGCAATTTCACAGGCTATCCTCTGCAGCTGCAGCAACTCGGTGTTTCTGAACGTCCAGTCCTGCTGAGACAGAAAACTCCGCAAATCCCCCTGCAGAGACAAACACACGGCACAGTTAGCCCACCAAAACCAAAAGCATTCAACCAATCCAGCTGAAAGTTAATTGACAAAAAAAAAAGAAGTCCTATAAAGGTGCAATGTGCAGAAGTTGCCACACGGGGGCAGCCTTCTCCCCTCTTCTTGTCTTCTCAGCACTTCTTCACGCTGATGTGTGGCAGAGCCAAATAAGGCCGACACCATTTAAAGCTCTGAGCTGGATCAAAGATTTAGAAATAAGAGTCATGCTCAGACCAGGAAATACACTATGCTTGGGATTTTTTTTGTGTGTGCATAAAAAGTAAAAAATATTGAATACTTAAAAACAAACTAGTTCAGCAGAGGGTTGTGACAGCAGAGCAGTGAGGAGTCAATCATAAAGCGCACTGGAAACAAACGGTTAACCTCTGGGCGGTTTGCCAAAGCGACAGTAAATATGAATTTCAACACGATGTCAGCTGTGTGCAGCTTCACATGTGTGGTTGTCATTCAGGAAAATAGAACAGAACGTACTGCCCACACATTATTGTATGGTCTACAATTAAAACCTGATGTTGACTGCTTTAAATGTCTTGTTAAAAATCGCAAAATTGGCTTTATGGTTGTGTGTGCTTTATGCAAAACATGGGATATCGCAGCTCAGATCCCAAATCAGCCAGCGTGTACCCAGAGGAATGAGCTACTACAACCACACACACAAGTCTGGAGTTTTTGTCGCTTAATCCAAGTCTGTGTGCGTTTGGTTTTGTGTGTATGCTTACAAAGGGTTTACTTTTCCCTAAGCTATTTCTTTCCCAGCAGCTTAGATCAGTCATCTTATGTAAGCACTTTTTTACCTTGTTTCAGTTGCATTCACGCCTGCGTAAACACACAGGAACACATAACGTCCCCACACAACTCTTGGAAGGGGTCTTCACTGAAGAGCTATATTCAAAGTATAGTAAATGATACTCTGTGGCTATATTTATTTGGGAGCTCTTGCAGCAGAAAAACAAGTTTGGGTTCTAGGAAACTGTTGTTAATGAAATAAAAACCAAAAGGATCAAGCTTTGTGTCTGGCAGATGAATGACAATGACTAGACACATTCAAGCTATTAAAATAATTTGAATAAGAATGAATGCAGGTTATTTTTAGTGGTAGTCCAGCATGCTGCTTAGGGATACTAGAAGCAGTTAATTACTGATCACTTATTTTCTTAAAGGTCAAACACAGTAAACATTGCCAAGAGTTATTACTACTATTAATGAAGTCCGTTTTAACAGGATCAATTATCCTAAAGTGGTCCAGGGTGAATTATTCTACAGATGTGTGCATCAGGACGTATTACAGTCGATCCAGAACATACAGCTGTCAGGACGTTAAAGAGCTGAATGTGTTGATATATTGCTGAAAAATGATAACTCAAGATATACATTTTAAACCTAATTCAGCGGGTTCTTGTCTGAGATCATGAATCAGAGACCGACTGATGTTCTGCCCAGAAACTAATGCATCAGACGGTGGCAGTAAGACGACAGCATGAGACGGTTTATGATTCATGCACCAGCAGCTGGTGTGCATTTATTCAAGGGGTGCACAGATTAGAGTTTAAGGCACATTCCAAGTCCCGATTTTTGTAATGCTCCGACGAGACGAAACAATTATTTTCTTCTAAAATTACTATTGCTATATGAGGCGGCTGTGGCTGAGTGGTTAGAGCAGTCGTCCTCCAATGCAAGAGCTGGGGGTTCGATTCCATCAGCGGTCACATGTCGACGTGTCCCTGGGCAAGACACTGAACCCCTCACTGCCTCTGATGTGTGTCCCATCGGTGTATGAATGTGATAAAGCTCTGATTAATCTTCTTATAGCTGTGGTAGAGTGCTGTATGAATGGCTAAACGAGGACACAGATTGTGTTGTAAAGAGCTTAGAGTGTCTTGATCAGATAGAAAGGTGCTATAGAAGTACAGTCCATTTATATAAACTAAAAATTAAACTGCTCATAAAATGTTTACACAAAATAAAACATTTCACTGACTGGCACTGAAAAGTTATAAATTAAAAATAAAACTTCAGGTTTTTAGATTTATACCAAAAAAAAAAAAAAAAAAAAAAAAAAGGCAAAAGCTGATTAAAACAAGATTACAGCTTCTTAATGCTTTAATCTGTTTTTGTTTTGCACTCATCAAAATCATAAATGTGTATTATTTTACAGACAAATGTTTTATTTCCTACTAAATTAAAATATAAAATGAATAATATCAGTGTCCAACGATCAATCAGGTAGGGAGAAAAATACAACTCCTTAAAGATACTGGATTTGCGTTTAGTTAAAAAGATAGAAATTACAGTTTGATAACAGCAACAATCAAACCAATAAATCTTTATTTACATTTTCTCCCTGGTTGCAAATTACAGGTCTCACAAAGTAAGTTGGGCTTAAAACACCACCTGTTAGAATGGCACCTGGTATTTAAACCTCCATCTTTGTGTTGATGAGCTGCAAACTGTAGAAACATTCTAGTCTCTTAGACCTCGTGCTTCATCTGGTTTTGATTTTAACGTTACAAATAAGTAAAAATGAATTATTTCCTAGCAGATAGGAGCTCTAGCTATAGTCTGGGAAACAAATTAAAATAGATTTCTGGTAAGTTTTGCCTAAAATTGTCTGATTTCGGTGAATTATTTGCTGCATCACTAATATACTCTGTGTCCAAAACGTTTTGACCCAGAACGGCTCAGGACTGATAAACCCACCTTCAATCAACCGAGAGCACGACACAGATTAGCTTTTGGAGAATTCAGCTGGTCCTCTGAGCAGCTGAAGAGTCACGTTTCATGTCTGGACATCTAGTAGATGACTGATAAGGCCTCAGCTAATAAGTCGCCATCAACAAGCCATTTTTCCCTTAACGTTCACACAGAAGCCTTTGCTGCAACACACTCACTTTTAAACTGTAACATATTAAACTGCATTATTCAAAGAAAGGAACCACTTTTTGTTCAAGTCGAGATCCATCTTCCAGCCCCCAAAATTATTTATCGAGCAAAAGACAAGCAGCATAGATATCACTCAGTTGGACTCCCTCACACATTATCACCTTCGACAGACAGGACCTGCTCTTCATCACACCAGCCTCCCTAATGGTTTGTGGCGACTCATCCACCTTGACTTATTTCCATGGGCTGTCAGAGAGATTACTGGAGCTGGCTGAGGAAGGACCACAATACCAGTCCATGTGCCAGGTCTGGGCAGCTGACAATACCCTGGCCCAACAAGATTACACAATGTCTGGCAAGATGGACTGAGCTAGACGGGACCCTGTGGGACGTGTTCTGCTAGAAAAATGGGGAGCGAGGTCGAAACTCTGCATTTGGAAAAACTGAACAAGTTAGACTGATTTAAACACAGGAGAGAAAATGTTTGTATGATGATAACTTAAAAAAAACAACAAGCTGGTGTATAACTGTTATTGTTTTTACTGGATTTCCCATACTGGGTTTCTTTAGGAGGAGCTTAGCTTTCTTAAGAATGTACTCCACAGCAACCAGTGACCACAAGGTTCTGGCCATAAAAATGCCCATACACAGCAACAGTCGGAGCCGACACCAGAGGAGTGTAAATGGAGCCTGTTGCTTTACTGGGTGAGGTGGGAATGTGAGAAGTCCCCGGCTTACTGTAACTATGTAACTGTGGTGAAGGAGGGGATTAGAGAAGGGAGGAAGAGGAAGGGAACTCCCCTCAGGCTCAGCCCAGTACACCCTGAAGACTGTAAAACATGAACGAACCAGTGACTACGATGAGAGCCGGAGTCTTTTCAGTGTTCATGGAGACGAGAGTTGAATAAGGATTGAGAAAGAAAGTCTTTAGTCCAAAACGTCCAGAAACCCTGTCATTTACCCACTTGTTTTTGACGTTTGAACAGGTCGTCGTCATGTGAACTCACACATTTCTCAGACTGCTCCGTTAATAAAGTGCTGACACATGACTAATTAATTGCATGTTAGTAAGCATGTGGACACTCACCATTTCAGAGTACTCAAAAACAAGCAGGAAGGGGATAGCCTCAACACACTGACCGAGGCACTGGAGGAGGTTTGGATGCTGCAACACCCTGAAGACAAAGCAGGTTTTACATTTAATGATTATCAGTGAAGCAAACAGCTTTTCAACATATTAACCATTTGCATATCACCAATTTAAACAAGTAACTGAAGTAAATGCTATAATTAAATGAAAGAAGTGGCAAATTAATTGGGTAAAATCCTCACTAAAAGAAAAGACCATTTATTTACCTGTATGGATCCCCTTGCTGCTGCAGAAAGTCATTCCCTTCTTTGGCACTTGCATTAGCTTTTAGCTCCTTCACCACCACTCTGGTTCCTCCTGGGTCGGTGTAAATTTCACTCAGAATAACCTGACGGCACAAAAAACAAAAACAAAACATGAATATGTGAAATAATTATGATTCCACTCATCAGTATGAGTATTTCCAGTGAAAATCTATTACATACGGTATTTTTTGGACTATAAAGCACACTTAAAATCATTTAACTTTCTCAAATATCAACAGCGAGCCGTATAATCCGGTACGCCTCATGTATGAAAACAGACCTACTCATTGATATTGCACCTTTTAATCTGATGCACCTTATAGTCCGAAAAATACGGTAATTCTCTTTCAAGAGCTGATCAGAAAAAAGGTCTACTGTGCAGGCAAGTGATGCAAAATACACATTAGTGGTTAAATGTATAGAAATATTTATTTTTCTTACCTGACCAAACCATCCATGGCCAATCTCTTGGATGTAACTCAAACTGTGACGCCCAACTTTGAAGCCAGTGGCTGCCTCTGAGATAACAAACACATAATCCAAGTAAAGGAGATGAGAAACAAAATAATAATAATAATAATAATAATAATAATAATAATAATAATAATAA